AACATATATTTTTTTAGAATAACTAGTCTCCGTGTCTTCTTCATTCTACGTGATATTGGAGAAGTTATCTGTGCTCAAATGTCACGCTTTAAAGCCATTAACAAGTAATTGAATTGATTTCACTACGTAGTATAAAACAAAGTCTCTTCCCGCTGTCTGTCTGTCTGTCCCTATGTATGCTTAGATCTTTAAAACTACGCAATGGATTTTGATGCGGTTTTTTTAATCGATACGGTAAAGGTTTTAGTATATAATTTGTTAAGTTTTTGTATACATTGGCTAAAATATAACTATATTTGTTGGAAGTGTCGGAAAAGAAGAAAACTGTCTGGGAGCTTTCAACGAAAACCCCTTGGAAAAATAACAAATTAATGTATGGTGGAATTGTGCATCTTATATAGGTCTACAGAAAAGTCCGTGACGACATATGTCTATCTCTTAAGGATAACATACTATATCCATTTTAATCTAAAACGTAACTAAGGACGAACCCCAACGAAGCGAGGGTGAGTCGCTAGTTTAAGAATATTCCTATAAATTCGCTCTAGCACGTCGTGGCTTTGGTTCTGTAGTTTTTTAAGTATCAACGTTCAAGTAAACAATAAATAAACAAACTAAACTGAAAAACTCTTACAATTTCATAATATTATTACTACCTATATACATTACATAATATAGAACGTGTTAATTATCAATTTATAATTTCTTACAATATTGTTGAAAAATCATAAAAAATGAATTAATTAAAAAAACCTTACTTAATTCCAGTAGGTATTATATCTGAAATTAGTATGTTTTCTTCCCTCATTAACGACTAGGCCTACCGCATTGTTATATATTTCCAGTGTGTCGTCTTTTTTCGTTGTAATCTGAGTTTTGTCATTGTAATATGAAACTTTGTATGGAGATGTAGCACCCTGCGGCTCACCAAATTGTTTACAAAACTTTATTATAAACTACATATTAATGTGTCTTTTTTGTAGTTAATATATTTTCGCTCAATATTTGCCCAATTATATGAACGTTATTTCTTAATATTCATAGTAGGGGAGCCCAAGAGGGGACTTTCTGTAGTTACTCGAGCGCGGCAGATTAATATACAGGGGGATACCTTGTACCCGGTTAAGTACCTCCACAAAACATGAGGCCCATATATAAGGCCGCCCGTGAAGGATACAGGATCAGATTAGTAAAAAAAAATTGACCACCAGAAATTCTCGAGCGCGTCAGATTAAGGTAGGGTGAGTTAATTACATCCTAAAAAGTGTATATTCCACTAATCTGACAATTTGAGAGTGACGGAAAAAAAGGGGAGGGCAACAAAGTTGTAAAAAAAAAGTCATCTCGACATTCTCGAGCGTAGCTAAATTTTTTTTTATTTTGAAGGAAATAATGCAAGAATAATGAAAAATATATAATCTGACGATTTCCGCAAGCCGAACTAACAAAAATTCGTCGATAAAGTTAAATGCGTGCAGCTGCGTGATGCCTACATTTCCTTCTCCGCGTTTCTATTCCTCTCTCACTCTTTCTCTATCTATTACTCTCTCACTCCGTCCCCACTCTGGTTTCTGCCGCCATGACACCATCACAGCTGATCATAAAGAGTCTAGGGGTGTGCGAACATCGTTCGAATCGAATCGAATATCAATATTCGATTCGAAATTCGAAAAATTTCGAATAATTCGTAAAAATTTCGAATAATTCGAAAGTTTTCGAATAATTCGCGAATTAATGAAATATCTCTGGATCTTCAATTCGAGAGATATCGTGAACGAAAGAAAATCGAAAAAAAGTGTTTTTTCGGGATTACTCCGAAATTTTTGGTTTGATCAATTAAAACCTGAAAATAACTTATGAGGATAATAAAACTGCGTCGAATGCCGTCAACCGCGTGAAAATTGCTTGATCTATTCAAAAGTTATTGCGGTTTGAAAATTCCAAAAATAGTGTTCTATGAAACTTCTATCAGACTTTCGAGCTGGGAGAGCTCAAATGCATAGAAATATTATTTCTTTGAACTCTGCGAGCTCAAAATATCACATAAATTATATTTTGAGCTCAAAAATGCCATAAGTACAATTTTAAGCGTACAGGAATGGAATTAGCGGGAAGTTGCAGGTATGGCCTTTAAGGTGAACCGTTTTTCTAATTTTTTTTTGTCAGATCAGGCGAATCCCTCTAGATAATCGTCAGATTATGAGACAGTACGTTTAGAACATAAAGATGAACCATATATATCTTAATCTGACGCGCTTGAGTATTTCAAAATGGCGATTTTTTTTGCACATTATGAAAATGGCCGCGAGTTTGCGTCCCATCGAAATCGTCAGATTAGTGAATGAGAGCTTTTTTTTGGTGCAATTAACACTCCCTTAGAAAATCTGACGCGCTCGATTAATTTTTTTTTTTCATTTTCAACCCTTAAATACAACCACCCGCATCATGCAAACGATCAGATTAACATACGTACATTATTAAAAATACGTAGGGCATTTATGCTATCAATATCTGACGCGCTCGAGGATGTCTATGCAACAGTTTTTTTTTACATATTTAAAAATCTATAGCCGCTTCCCCCACCGATGTAAAGGTATATATCATATAACATTTTTTTCTTCTTATCATATCTAAGCTTTGCATCCCAATAGGTCTCTACGACGCTCGAGTAAATCCCCATTTAGCTTCGTAGGCTCCCCTACCATCACATTTCAACAATGTCAATAGAATCGCTACAATTATAAGTTGATTGAATTTTCAAATTATAGAATACGTCGCGTGGGTAGCTAAATGAAATTGTAGCAGAAAATTTAATTTTGAATCTCGTTATGTGTTGCGGTATTTGCAATAATATCATAATTAGAAAGTAATGTTTTCAATATATCGGTTTATAAACAATCTAAAATATATTATGTTGCTGTATATTGCTATATAAAATTTACTATTATTTTGAATTAGAAACATTCGCTATGACCTACGCTTAACCTATTATAGGAATTTTACGGTTCAGTCGCTTTACCTTGTTATATAGATCAAGGTCGTAACTTGTTATTATAGTATCAATATAGATAGACAGACATTTTCAAATAAATAGATCGATATAAGTATATATATATACATTGATATTAAATATCAATTGATCTATATCACTATACTGATGATCCTTGATGGTGTGCCAGATTCCTAAACAATCACAGATACTCCCATTAATAGGTATTATAAATGCGAAAGTCTGGATTGATGGATGTTTGTTACTCAATCGCGCCAGAACGGCTGAACGAATCTGGATGAAATTTGGCACAGAGATTGATTATAGTCTGGAATAGCATATAGGTTACTTTTTACCCCGGAAAATGTTCGATTCTCGTGGGGTAGATTTGTTTTTGTTTTCCACTAGGGACAAACCCGAGCGAAGCGTGGGTAAGTCGCTAGTATATTCCTATAATTAAGATAATATATTAATAGGTAGAAACGCTTAATATAGTGCTACTTATGAATTAATGCGAAATTGTTAGATTAAGTATTCTTTTCGCAGAAACGTGACAGGTCGATCATCGATGTGATTTTTTGTTTAGACTTTTTACTCTAGTAGGTACCTACATAAATAGATACATAATATGTATTTACAATTTGTGGCAGAGAGTCTTATAGGGTTATATATATATATATATATTATAAATTTACATAACAATGCATCTACATAATTATAGGTTGTATTGTATAGATTATTTTTTCTTTTTCCTTTCAATTGTGAAGCCTTCGTATTACCCTAACATCCACCATACGGGAACCACATCCTTCCTTTATTCCCGGATGAGTTTCTAAGATTTCCAAGCCATTTAGGCTTCGGAAGCAGATGCATCTACACCTGTTGAACCTTTGCCAATTGCTCCCATGGGGTGACGCGCTATGCCTCACAGTGAACGGATATTCCCACGCGCACCACTCCCACATACAAATGCGCTTTATTACGGTTGTCATTGCTTTGAGACAGTTTTGCCAAAAGAGTATCTATATTTTGAGGTTATATTAAAAAGGTTTATAATATTATGATTTCATTCTTTAAATATTTTATATTGAAGGCTTGTATTTCATTTTGTAGATACATATGGACGATCGTATTATTTTATTTATTATGATTTATTTTAATTTTAATACATTATATATGAATTAATACAATAATTAAAAATTCCACCAGAATCTCTCAACTTGTCCATAATGTTTTTTTTACTCTAGCAATTTTTTTTCTATTCTTTAAAAAGTTTTTATTTTCGCTTTGCTACATTCACCTGTCTTGTCTTCACGGTCTGCATCTGAAAGTTGAATGCTATCTCCATCCTTATCTAACGTATTGCAATTGACTTGCAAGGAAAGAGATGGAACATCTTCAGTTAACCGGTGACGGTGGAGCTGGGAGCATGTGGCACGCGCCACTCATTCGGTTTCCGAACGTAAGTAAGAGTGGACGTACTTTGTCGCGTTAAATCTTATGTTCAACGTTTCGCTCGTGTTTTGACAGTTCCGGAATCTCGTACTTTATTGCTTACGAGATTGTTTTGTTTATCATTATAAATTGTATGTGTGATTTGGTGAAGTATAATTTAGTTTGACTGCCAACTTAATTTATAACAGAAACAAGTGATAAATATATTTTCGGCTCTGCAGAAGAAATTTAACCTACATCCAGGGAAAGAAAACGCCGGTGCGAAGTGAAAGTTAACTCGGCTGTTTTTATATCTCTGTGGACAAAGCTATTTGGATCGCATTTTCGAAGGTGTTTTCTTTCTTAAGCCGCGTAAATTATAATTGAAAAAGTTGCCGGTCGCGTATGGAAACAAGTAGCTGGTTGACCTGAAAGCTTATAATAGAAACAAACGGTCGAGATTTTTTCGGAGGTCTTTGAAGATAGATCTTATGATGATAAATGAAGCGTGTGATGTGAGAATGCGATTTGGTAAGCGCTAAGTTTCGCATTCGTCCGGTGTTTTTCTTCGAGCTTTATGAGGGAGAGAAGGTCCTTGCCAATAAGCGGCGAAGTGGCGCTTAAAACGGAAAAGGATGGTGCTGGTAGGGGTTTGGTTGTGAACTCTGTTCTATGTGGTGTTGTGGATGAACTGTCTAACGGTAGAACTGGCAGACGAGGGTCGTGGGTTCGAACTGCAGTCATGGGGGTACTCAGGTGGAAGGATTTGACAGGAGTCAGGACCAGCACGCCTACAGAACAAAAAGAGGTACGTTATGTTTACATTGATATGTGTGCCAATAAATATTAATATAGATAGTGCATAAACAAATATTATGGTATAATAAATTTTGTTAATAGTTGTTTGTCTTTCACACGTTTGTTTACATGGTCGTAATTTGTAATCTTGTTTATTATTAACTTGATAACACATAAGTATTACAAAATATAACTCTAATTATCTTTATAATATATGTCAAAATAAGAAAATAATATAATAGACTTATCTATTGATGAACTCGTTCCAAGAAGGTAATAGGTAATTTACATTAACAATATAGGCGCTTTAACTAATTACTGTCTTCATTCACTAAATAATTGCTTAATAAAGACATCCAAGATAACTTTTAAGACATTCTATTATAGTCAAAATTTTAGTACGTGGTTTTTAAAATGTTTTAAAAAAGCTTCGAATAAGATAACTGTTCTACTAATTTATTATGCCAATATTGATAAAACTCGTAATAATGAATCATATACATATTTTAGTTATGTAAACAATAAACATGAGTAATAGAGAAAATTTTGTGTTTGGGCCAAGTCCGGTTTAACATGTCTCAGGGCATTAGCGATATTTGACGTCATTGTGGTTTCGATGTCACTTTGGTTCACATCTTAATGTTAGCACAGAGTATGTGTCAAGGTGGTGTATTTATAGTGTCATAATATAAAAAAATGAAATTGTTTATTTGTTTATGTTTATTTAAAACGCTTTTCTTAAGAACAGTTCAATTTGAAACAACAAAAGAATGTTATAGGCTACGTATCTAACAACACACAGGAGCAGGGCAATAATTTTTAAATATTAAATAAACTACGCGAGCGGAGTCGCGGGCAAGCTATTAATTATTAAACTGTAATATAATTCTATTCTAGTTATTTTGTTTATATTGATATTTTTTTATAGCTTGTTAGTATTTATTATGAAACGTCGTGAGTCAAATATATTTAAATAAAATTATTATAACGATAACATATTACTACATAATATTATATTTCAATTCATTGTTACTCGTATTATTTATTGCAAATGTTTTGTATTTGTATGTGCGTAGGTGCATCAACTTCCTGTACACGTTGCCTAATGAAAAATTACAGGCTTCCTCGCTATGCAATATGCCTACCTGGTTGAGATTTATTAAGGATCATCTTATTTCCACAGTAAATATATAGTTAACACGGTCTCAATGTTTGTACAATTATTAAATAATTTCATTTTAACCGGTTAGTACGTGGATTTTTTTCATAAACACTTTAAATACCTAATTGTTATATATTAGTGTGATCTTATAATATCATGTTTTAATTTATAAATGATTGTTATAGATAATATTATCATGACAATTATTAGAAATTCTATAAAAATGAATAAAGTTGTAGCGGGGTGATTTAATTTTTTTCTTGGTACGTATTTTTATTGTCGGTCAAAAATTTCTATCGGTCATAATTATATACGTGAAAAGTTTCCCAAATTCTATTTAAACGCATCTAACATGTTAACATTTTCTCATAAATAAACGCTTTTTTGATATACAGTTTTGATGATAACATAATAATTGATCTATCGAAGAATTGTGGCGCGTCATATAACACAATTTATCGAAAGTCATATCCCATAAAGAGGTCACAACAAAAATCGTGTCGAGACTGCGTGTATCATATATTTCTCACTCCAATTGCTACCAACGTTTTACTGCTTTCAGGGTGGAAACGCGAAAATTCTCTAATTAATGCAACGTGGTATGCTCAGCTCGTTTTTTCTCTTTAAACAAAATTACTTTTTTAATTAGTATTTGGTTTTACATTTTATAACATGAGTATACTTGACATTTTTATTGAATTGCAAGCGAGGATTTCTTAACAAAAATATTTTTTGTTGAACTTTACTTCTATATTACTAAGTAGGTACTTTAAGATGTTTTAGTATCTAGATTTAAGTTTTATAATATATATTTATATTTTAATTTCCTCTTTCATTTTCATAAAATTCATATTCCTTCTTTTCGTATCTTTTATTTCTGCAAAATTCTCTTTACTAGCATTGAAACAGACTGTTTTTGATAATTATTTCCAAAACCTCCAACAGGGCGTTCATTCTTAATGAGAACGCAACATATTATGCTCAATATAAATTGTCAATTGCAATAATAATCGATTTTCATCAACAATCGAGTTTCAGAGTTTTAGTCAGTCAGTAGGTAGGTACTCTAGCACTAGCACTATTATATTTTATTATTTACATATTATTATTTTCTAAAGGACTTTTTTTTCAAAATTATTGCATGTAGGCAGGTACTTTAGAGAATTTTCATTTATGAAAAATATGTTTTTTTTACATGTACTTAGTTGGTATTGTGAAGAAAATTTTGTTCATATTTCATTAAAATTACTAGATTTATCATTCTGTCCGATGGTTAATAATAAATCAATCAATTTTCGTGTTCTGCGTCGAGAATAGCGTGATCGTAATATTTTCTTAATTATTTGGCAATCTATTATCGGAATGCCCGTGATGATACCTCGTAGATAAATTATTATGTGCAACATTTATGGAGCTACGAGTAGGGGATTTTAGTTACTCCGGTGACGAAGGTTGAGTGGCTGTGTGCATGTAGCTGTCAAAACGTCACGTAAGTAAATTTTTTCGTGCTTAAACTATTTGGTCTATCTATGTTTATTATGAATAGATTCATACGTAACTTTCCGAAATTGTAGTGATATTGGTAAGGTATATTGTCGCATAAGTATTTTTATAATTTGTTATATTAGTTTGCCAGTATGTCAGTCGTCGTAAACTGTGGCAAGAGAACCTGAAATTTGCTGGAGCTGACTGTTTCACTGGATATAAGAAAAAAAATCTATTTTAACTGACACGCCAGACAAAATGCGTTGAGTGTTACAAGAAAACGAGACTGACATGTTAGCACGATCTAGAATGGTACGGCATAATTTGTTGTGATGCATATTAAAATTTTCGTCCAAGAGAACAATGGATAGAATGTATCATGTGTAAAAATTGGGCTCGTATCAAATGTTTAGAGGCGTACTTATGTGTGTCCGATTCCTGATGAATGAGAATGGAGATTGCCAAATTTAATTACACCTGATGAACGTAAGACTGATGATTAATAATTTAAACAAATAAAAATTGAAGTCAAGTTATGCATCTGAACCAGTAATGTTTTGTACCAGTAATAGTATCATCATTCACATTACATCATAAATATATACAAATGGTTGTTTTATTTTATAAAACCTGTGTTATTCGGACAGATTATTGTTATAATCTAAGTGGAACAATTTGCCCCAACGATGGAACAACTCGCCCCAAAGCGGGGCTGAATGTTCCGCTCCGAAATTTGACAAAAAATTGCTTCTGTTAAAAAAACTATTGAGATATTAGTATAAATGACTATAATATTACAAAAACCAATAAACATCCATTCAATATTTGCACATGTTAAAAATGAAACCCTTCATTTTTATAATAAAATTTCATGTTATTTGAAAATCGGAACTTCCAACCCCGCTCTCCCTACGTTCGTGATTAACTACGAATCCATTCAAAACATAATTTGAAATTTCCTATGTGTATAGCAGATATATGAATTCAAAACCTGAAAATTTCAATCAAATGTATGTAAAAAATGCATTTTCTATAAATACATGTACATTTTCTAATCTATTGAATACGATAATTATTTTCTTTAATACGCTATGAATTATGCACAGTTAATAATTGCTCACGTTATCCGGAATTTGGCTAATAATATAGAAGAATAAATTGGCGCGTTTGTCTGAGGTAATCGCATTGCAGTCAGATCCTTGATTCAATTTAGATTTCTTCTCTAGAAAACTCAGCAAAATTCATTTCATTTTAATATCATTGGGTAGCGGTTTTTACTGTTACTTAAATTCCTAATTTGATATATTAGTTAACGTATTAATACTATTTAAAGCATTATTTATTGCAAATTAGAAATTTACAGCTCATTTACATATTTACGTTTTTTAGTATTAATCATAAAATGTAATGGATCGATTTCGATGAGACTTTCAAAAACAATGTCATTAAAAAAAGTGTATATTTTATTGTTAACATTTTTGAATGTCTGTGTTAAAACTTAAGAAATCACTGCATGTTTAATCTACTATAACGAGATATGTACATTAAATATTTTTTGGAAAATCTCATTGAAATAGACATTATTATCGATACAGAGGCCGAATCTATAGTTTTTAGAATTTTTGTCTGTCTGTTTGTCTGTTACCGCATTACGAGAAAACCACTGGACAGATTTTGATGAAATTTGGTATGATGATAGCTGATTGATTCTGAGAAAAAATACAAGAACTGCAATGTAAGAGTATACTAATATGTAAAACCTAAGAATGTGGTTTTTGGTCATCTGAACGCGGGCGGAGCCGCGGGCAATGCTAGTACTTTATATGAGTACATGAATAGCATTTACTGCGAACTCTATGATCAGGTCAACGCATAGACATACACCACTTGGCAAGATGACAACTATTTTATTTTACGGCATTTGTTCTCGGTTGTCGTGTGAGTTACTACCTCTAGTACTGATCATGTTGCTTGTTTGGAATAAAATGTGAAGATTTACATCGTCCGTTAACTCTTTACTTAATTTAATTGCACGAGAAATGATTTATTATACTTATTACATAGTAATTTATTATGTCATTATAATTATTTTGAATTAGACTACTTTGTAGAGTACTTTGTAACATCATAGTACAGTAATGTGTGGGTATATTTTTGGTGGTCATTCACGCTATAATATAAGACGCGGGTTCGATTATCGAATAAGGTAAAAGTTGTAGACTACTCAAAGTAATTGAGTACAAAAAATTAAATCAAGGACTTACCTTCGGTTCGCCGCTAGGTAGCCTATGTGTTAATTTATGGTCCCGCTCTATTTTTATACTAAATTACATCCAAATCTGTCTAGCCGTTTTAGCGTGAAGGAGCACCAAACATACAAACACACGTACAAATTATAGTATATTAGTAGTGCGATTAATCTTTACGGTGCGGTGTGGATCAATTCATAAAGTAAGCTCTATGTAGAGACTAAGTTTAGCTCTCAGCGCAAAAAGGTCGCACCGTCGCGGGTGCGGGCGCTAATGGGATAAAAAGTACAAGATAACATTGGCAGCTTCGTGATGAATTGTCACTGATGACACAGTTTATACCATTTCTACACGCACACTGATTTACTATGTCATGATATTACAAATATTGTGCTAGTTTAATATTATTTTTAGCTTGTGGTTTTTGGATACTAGTGGTTTTATTCCAAAAAAAAATCTTATTTTATTGTTAAAGGGTATAAGGGTAGGTAGGTAATAATTTTAAATTAATTAAGCTCCAAAAGCATGTTATATAATAGGTATATAAATATTAAAAAATGCCTTTCTTTATATAGAACAATATTATTTTTTGATAAAAGCTAGTCTTTCTGGCAAAAAATGGCGCAGATTTACACTAGCTTCGAATTTGTATGATGTTTTATTTTTACAAATATTTTGGACAGCACATTGTTTTGGACGGCAGTTTTCTATACAAAAGTAATTTAAGTTTCACAGATATTTGTATAATGTTTTCATTTTGGTACACTTTAAAATTTGTTTCCTAACATTTTTGAAAATTGTTTTACGAATGAAAGTGCGTAAACTGAATTCAGACTTAGAGAAATAGATTCGCAAATAACTATTTTGCATAAATGCCTTATATAACTGTCGACAAGTCTTTTGTTTTGTAAATGAGATGGAATCTTGAAAAGACTTCTATTTCAGTGCTTTCAATGAAAGACGTTTCAGCCACGAGATTTGAGCCTGTGGTCTGGTACTTTTGAAGTGCCATGACCTGGTTGCGAGTCAAATGGCAAGCTTCCATAGTGTTAAGTGAATTTTTTGCCTTTTTCCTACACTTTTATAACTAAGTATATTACTTTTATTATTATGTAGTTCAAGTGATTATCTAATATCTATCGAATATTAGCTCACTATTAGAAAAACAGAATCAAGTCTATCCCACGGGAACCGTATGTTTTTCCGG